AACCTGAGCCGCGAGAAGGACGTGCTGGTGGCTGAGGTCTTCGGCCTCAAGCAGCTGCTGGAGGTAAATGGTGCCCAGTCCTCTCCCCAGTCCCCTAACCAGCGGTTGCTTTGGTCTGACAGTGACCCTCTCTTTTGGCAGGACAAGGACTCAGACATCACGGGGCTGACGCAGAAGATGGAGGCACTGGAGGCCGAGCTGCAGGACATCTCCTCCCAGGAGTCGAAGGACGAGGCCTCCCTGGCCAAAGTGAAGAAGCAGCTGTATTCCCTGGGCTGGGCTTGCCCAGGAAGAGGAGGAGGTCGCGCTCAGCCCGGCATCAGGCCAGGCATCGTGGCTACCGACGCAGCTCCTGGCTCTCCGTGCCATGGCCCGTCAGGTCACTGTGGGGCGGGCAGCCCAGCCAGCCTCAGACCGGGGGGTTTTCTGGGTGAGTGGCACCCAGACATCAGCTTGGGGGTGTCCCCATGTCTCTGTTGCTCTGACAACATCCCCCCTATTTGCAGGCCAAGCTGCGGCTGGGGTGGCCACCCCAGCCAGCCTCAGACCGGGGGGTTTTCTGGGTGAGTGGCACCCAGACATCAGCTTGGGGGTGTCCCCATGTCTCTGTTGCTCTGACAACATCCCCCCTATTTGCAGGCCAAGCTGCGGCTGGAGATGGAGATGGAGCGGCTGCGACAGACCCACGCCAAGGAGGTGGAGAGCCGTGACGAGGAGGTGGAGGAGATTCGGCAGTCGTGCCAGAAGAAGGTAGGGCCCAAGGGGAGACAGGATACATCTCTGTGTCCCAGACGGGTGCTGGGAGCTGCCAGCTGGGCACTGTCACGCAGCGCCCGGCTCCTACGCGGCTGGCCACAGCCCGGCTCTACTGGCCCAGCAGGTCCAACCAGTCCCTTTGCTGCCCGGGCCAGCACACGCCAGGCTTCATGCCTCTGGTTGCGCAAAAACCCGGTCTGTGGGGTCACCTGGCATCCCTCATATGTGAGGACACAGAAAGGGGGGGTCCTGGTCTTTTGCTGCCGCCCTGACCAGCTGTCCTGGCTGTCCCCTAGCTGAAGCAAATGGAAGTGCAGCTGGAGGAGGAGTACGAGGACAAGCAGAAGGTGCTGAGAGAGAAACGTGAGCTGGAGAGCAAGTTATCTGCCGTCAGCGAGCAGGTATGGTGCAGGGCAGGTGGGCACAGACCTCACATAGGGGACCCCGAGGTGGCCGTGGCACTCTACCAGCGTGGTGGTCCCCTCTGCCCCAGGCCAACCAGAGGGACTTTGAGACGGAAAAGCGCCTGCGCCGGGACCTGAAGAGGACGAAGGCGCTGCTGGCGGACGCACAGATCATGCTGGACCACCTGAAGAACAACGCACCCAGCAAGAGGGAGATTGCCCAGCTCAAGAACCAGGTATGCATCCATGCCCCTCCAAAACCACAGCCCTTGGGGGGGACACACAGGGTGTGCCTGTCCCCCAGCCGGGTACTGAGCCATGTCCGTGCAGCTGGAGGAGTCAGAGTTCACCTGCGCGGCTGCCGTCAAGGCCCGCAAGTCGATGGAGGTGGAAATTGAAGACCTTCACCTGCAGATTGATGACCTCACCAAGGCCAAGGCAGCAGTAAGTGTTTCTGGGGTGTGATGCACCTTGCTGTGCCCCACCAGCACCCAGGGACAGGCCCCTATTGGTGTGACATGTGCCAGCACGGTGACCCCATAGCGTTTGGGGTGGTTTTGGAGGCTGGGTGCCTTGCTCTTGGGGTGCAGTGGGAGACACAGGTGACTCCCCCCAGCTGGAGGAGCAGCTGAGCCGGCTGCAGCGGGAGAAGAACGAGGTGCAGAGTCGGCTGGAGGAGGACCAGGAGGACATGAATGAGCTGATGAAGAAGCACAAGGCAGCTGTGGCCCAGGTGTGTGAGGAACGGCAGCCTCAGCACCCCCAGGCCCTGTAACATCCCTCTCGGAGCTGGCCCAGTGGGATCCCTGCTGATGGCCCCCATGTGTCCCACAGGCAGCCCGGGACCTGGCACAGATGAACGACCTCCAGACACAGCTAGAGGAGGTCGGCAAGGAGAAGCAGGAGCTGCAAGAAAAGGTGGGGAGCACCAAGATGCACTCGAAGGGTGTCCAGGGTGGTGGGTGCACCTAGAGACCCCCTGCCTGCACTGTGGTGGGGAGCTCCTGCATCCCGGAGAGCACTGGGCAGTATCACAGGGAGCTCTCTGTTGGTATGGGAATAGCATAGTGGCCAGGCAGAGAGGTGGTGGTCAAGTCTAAAGCTGTGCACCCTCTGCAGCTTCAAGGCCTGCAGAGCCAGCTGGAGTTCCTGGAGCAATCCATGGTGGACAAGTCCCTTGTGAGCCGGCAAGAGGCCAAGATACGCGAGCTGGAGTCCAGGCTGGAGTTCGAGCGGACACAAGTCAAGCGCCTGGAGGTGGGTGATGGGGCAATCCCTCCTCTCCAGCTGGGACTGGCATGCAGTGGAACCACAATGTGAAGCTGCCCGGGGGTGGGGTCTGCCAGACACATCCCCAATATCCCCTCTATGGGACCCCCCCAGGCTGCAGCCCTTGGCTGCCAGCAGCCCGTCCCTGTCCCTGCAGGGAAGCTCCCTGCAAGTGCTGATAAGGGTAATCCACTCCCAGACTGGCGAAGTGATGCTATTTCCCTGCATTGACTTAAGGAAATTATAGACTCTCCCGGCCCCGCTAAACGCAGCCTGCTTTATATTCTGCCTTTGCAGCTCTGCTGGGGGAGCAGAGCAGCTTAGCTCTCTTAATATTTTCCGAGCTGCTATTTCCCTTCTCTGCTCTCTCTGCCGGGGTCATAAACATGCAGCGGCTGGCTCAGCGGCTGGGGGAGAATGGGAGCTATTTTTTCCCTGCTTTTCACACTGTAATTACTTCACACACAGTTAAATCTATTTTCCAATTTGGCAAAGCCCCCACAGGTTGTTCTGCCCCTTTCCTTGCCCTAGGCGGGGGTGGTTTCTCCTCCAACTCCTCATGTAAATTCAAGGGGATGGGATCTGCCCTGGCATGAGCCCTTGGTGGGTGTTGCTGCAGGGTGAGAGGTCTGTGGGGGACCTGGGGTCCCCCCATGCCTGTTGCTCCACAGAGCCTGGCCACACGGCTGAAGGAGAACATGGAGAAGCTGACGGAGGAGCGGGATCAACGCGCAGCCGCTGAGAACCGGGAGAAGGAGCAGAACAAGCGGCTGCAGCGACAGCTCCGCGACGTCAAAGAGGAGATGGGCGAGCTGGCCAAGAAGGAGGCAGAGGCCAGCCGCAAGAAGCACGAGTTGGTGAGGCACCCGTGACTGGGCTGGGCAGAGGTGGGGGGTTTCAACTGGTTACCCAGCTCACCCAGCTCCCTCCCAACAGGAGATGGACCTGGAGAGCCTGGAAGCCGCCAACCAGAGCCTGCAGTCAGACCTGAAACTGGCCTTCAAACGCATCGGGGACCTGCAGGCAGCCATTGAGGATGAGATGGAGAGTGACAGTAACGAGGACCTCATCAACAGGTGAGAGTGTCTGGGCCTGGCATCCATGCAGGGCACGTCACTGGGGCTCACTGCTTCTCCTTGCCACTTCTGAAATTCCACGGGGACCCCTCAGCTCTGCCTGGCCCTGGCAGGATGCTGTCTGTCCATCCATCCATGCATTGGGCACACATGCATCCATCCATCAAGCACATGTGCATCTGTTCATGCACCCGTGCATCTGTCCCACGCATCGTGCCCCTGTGCACTCATCCAGCAGTCCGTGCATCTGTGTGTCCTGCCCCCCTCCACCCACTGCCCCTCTGCAGCTCTACCAGCTGGCAGAGGTGCCCAAAATGCAGCCTGGGCTGTGCTAGCTGGCTGGGAACAGCCTGGAGAGCCCCAGGAGCTAGGGCAGCACAGACTGGCAGGAGGTCTGGGATGCTGGGATCCAGCTCAGGGTGTTGGGATCCAGCCTGAGATGCTGAGATCCAGCCGGGTACAGCCCCATGCCAGGGCTGGAGGACCCTTTCCCACCATGTAATTTGCCCCCCTCCCTGTTTATTCCTCACCCACTTGGTCTTTTATTTTTTTTACGTTTCATTTGATTTCCTTTCTGTTGTGTTTCTGCCCCCTCCCTGGCAACCCCCTCCCAACCCCTCCCAGTTTGCAGGACATGGTGGCAAAGTATCAGAAAAGAAAGAATAAACTGTGAGGAGCTCCTCTTACCTTGTGCCCCCTCCCCTAACCCCCATCTGACCCCCACGGGCCGGGGCCCCGCATGCCACTGGCCCACCTCTGCATGCCCTAACAGCACCCATGGCATGTGACTGCATCCCACGCAGGGGGACAGGGGACAAGCCCCCGGGCTGGGGTGGGGGTGTGATGCTGTGCCCTGGCTAATGATGCGCAGTTCAGCCTGGAGCTGTGATGGAGCCCTGTGCCACTCACAATTAATATTCCCTCCCCCGTGGTTGCTCCCCCACGACCCGGGTGCTGCTTAACTAACGGCACGTTTGCCTGGACATAAACGGCGTTTGATGTGGAGTTTAATTCCACCAGTTATAAAACCTGAACTGCCCCCAGAGTTTGTTTACAGGGCTCGTCAGGGGGTTTTGTTTTGTGGTTTGTTTGTTTTTTTGTTGTGTTTTTTGTTGTTGTTGTTGTTGTGTTTGTTTGGTTTTTTTTCCCCCAAGCCCAGCGTTCCCTGGATGTGTTGCAGGGGAGGGAGACGCACGTGCTGGGGAGTGCAACTCATTGCTTTGAATTTAGTGAGGAGGATCCACATACAGGGTCTTCTATCCCAGCCCGTCCCCTGTGCTGTTTGCCACCATCCCCGGGGCAGGGAGTCAGCCCAAACTGGGTGGATAAAACGGACGTTTAAGATCATATGATAAATCTCTTCTCCAGCAGCAGCTTGGTGGGAGCCCTCCCCTCTAGCTGGCTGGTGAGGGGGGTGGAGAGGGGGGGCCGTGCTGCTTCGATTTCCTTATAGATCCCGCCGGTGCTGCCATAACCCTAATGAAAGCAGTGAGCAGTTAGGTATTAAGGGAGATTTATGCAGGGATGCTTTTAACGTGGAGGAATGGATTTTGCACTGCGTACGGCACCTTCTTTCTCAAAGCAATCAATATGGTTACGAACGGCCATTATAAATTAGATGGTTTAAACCAGATAGGGCTTTTTTTACTCCAGGATGTAAATCAGGGACTCTCTGGCACGGCAGGGCTGTAAATCTGCCTGCTGCACCCCTGCGCCCGCCTTGCTGGAGTCATTTCTGTTCTGCCTGCTAAACTCCTGTTTACCCAGGGCCATCAACATCCCTCTTCCTTGCTGTAATTTTGCACTCGATGACGGCCTATAAAATGAACCCACTTATTGCTTCCCAGCTTTGGAGCTGGAGATCTCCCATGTTTCTGGAGCCGTGCCCTGCCTGCTGCCCTGATGCCAGCCCTGCTGCCTTGTCTTGCCCCTGTGCAGGGGCAAGGAGGACGTTGGGCAGAGAGTGCAGGAACCCCTTGGCCAAAGGGGTGGTTTGGGAGCTTGGGGGGTGCATGGCACGGCTGTGCTTTGGGGACCACCTTGCATGCAGGCCATGCCTGGGAGATGAAGCAGGACAACAGGATGGGGGTTCACCCCTTCCAGGGTACACAGGCAGTGGGTGCTGGGTGGGTTTGGTGCCCACCAGCACAATTTTACCTCCCCAGCACCCAAAATCTCACTGCCTCATGCTCACATCTTGCTTTCTTCTACCCTCACGTGCTTCTCTGGCAGCGATGGTGACTCAGACGTGGACTCAGAGCTGGAGGAGCGCGTGGATGGGGTGAAGTCCTGGCTCTCCAAGAACAAAGGCTCCTCCAAAACGCTCTCGGATGACGGCAGCCTGAAGGGCAGCAGGTTGGTGCAGGGCTGGTGCAGGGACAGGGTGGGCTGTGCCAGGAGGTGGCCAGGGCATGGGGTAGGCACCCATGGGATGAGGCACTCTGGGTGCCATACTCCTGCCTGGTGCTCACATGGCCAGCCACGGAAAGGTGAACTCCAGCAAGCAGCTTGGTCTTCATAGGGGACCCATGTCCCCCTGCCCAAAGGGACCTCCCTGGTCCTCCTTCCCATCTCTTCTAGCACCAAGATCCACCCTGGAGGTGCATGGGCATTCGCAGCCCCTCCCATCTGCCTCCTTGGAGTTCATGGAGCTGGATCCCCCCCCTCCACCCTCCCTCCCTTTGCAGCCCCACCACATCCCTCCCCACACCTCTCAGCAAACATCAGCTGCCCATGCAGCCTCTGGCAGAGCAGGGGGACATGCCTGGGTGCCCCCATGGCACAGGGCTGGTGTGGGGATGTGGCACACAACCCTACTCCCATTCCCCAGGGAACGCACTCACCCGCTGAGTGCAGATTGCTTTTATCTGAACCCAATTTCCTAGCAGGGCTCTGGGAGTCCCGGGGGGCTCCCCACCCTCCACCAGGCAGCAGGGAAAAGATCTGAGCCTGCTCTTTCATAATTGGTTTAATTTATTCAGCAGTGCAGATGTAAAACATTTTGTTATTGGAGATAATTCCCCCTTTTCTGAAGTCAGGAATCAAAGGCGGCGGCTCCAGGTAGCCGGCAATGGAACAGATTGAACTCAACACTTTAAAAAGGGAATCAAAGCGCCGGGCTAGAACAATTCCCCCATTTACATGACATTTTTCCTGCTGACGGAAATTACTGAGGCTGCCTCTCTGCTGTGCTTCCCACCCCCCCATCCCTTGCTCATCTCCATCTCTCTCTTGTCCCCCCCGAGTGTGTGCGCGGGGGCG